GATGATGGTAACGTTATGACTGACAGGTAGTGGTGGTGCGGGTAAGGTAGTGTGTGTTAGTGCATATTTTGACCACCTCACCAACCTAAACAACATCTGATGCAGCATAACATTTAACTCTCACCTGAAAATTAGGTACCCCAGCTGATATCACCAGATGATTAAAATACCCTGACCTAACCTAACCCACGTTAACCTAACCTAGCCCACCGTTAACCTAAACTAACGCTAACCTAATCCCCATTAATCTAACCTAACGTTAACCTAACCTAACCCAACCTAGCTTAACATAATGTAAATTAACCTTAGCCCCAAGGCAGGGTTAGGAAGTACTTTAATCGTCAGGTAAAATGATTTGAACCCTAACCTTAAACTGATGATGAAATTCTTCTCTGTTACAGACTAAAATGAATCAGATTATGAAACTCCACAAATTACTGCTTTCCTCTTCTTCTTTTGTCCTCAGTAAACTATTGACATTATGGGTGGTTCATTGCTGTTATTGACACTATGGGTGGTTTACTGCTGTTATTGACACTGTGTGTATGTGTGTTCGCACACGGGGTGGTGAAATGCGTCTGGTGTGGTAGTATTATGTTGCTGTTAAGGTGCAAGCGCTGCTTGCTCCCTTTCCCTTTCATCTACTGCCGCTGGCTAGCCATCGTGACGAACAGAAAAGCAACTTGCATAAGTCTTCCCCTGCCAGTACACACAGACTCTTCACCATCAAGACTCCTGATGAGCCTCCTCTTGGCACACATGGTAACTGGGTGCCTCATGGTCCCAGACTAGACCAGCAATGGATCTCAGAACAGCAGTGGGCCCCAGAGGGCCAGCACATAGGCCCACTGGCATGTGGACACTTCCTGGTGCCTAACAACCAGTGCCTCGCCGCCTTGTGGATTAACCTTGACAGGTGTAAGGCTACGGAAGTAAACCCTGAACAAAATATCTGCGGTGGAGCCCCGCATCAAGCAGACATGCTTACAAAACTTCAACAAGACCCCCCAACGGCGGTGTAGGCGGAAAAGGTGACCACCATGGGAACCCAACGACTACACCGGTGGACGAAGGCAACGCCTGATGGACAGGCTACTCAGGCGAAACCCAAAAAACTGGGCTATTAGCCGTCCATTGCAACTCTCCCTCTCCTCAGTCACTGCAACACTTGCACCACTGGATCAGGAAAAATAAGAGCCAAGATGTGTGGTTGCAGCCTGCGCTCCTGCCTCACCACATAAATCAACTCACGCGCAGCCATCATCCCGCTCACCATACCTCTCATCATCAAAACCCCTATACCCCCAAAAGTCCTAAGACGACAGGGACAGGCAGAGATGACTACTGGAAGTCACTAGTCACAACTCTGCACATGTCCGGCACAGATAAGATGGTCGTTTATGCACTGGGATCTAGGCAGCAGTGCAATCCGGTCCGGTCTGTACGACTGAGCAGCCCTTTCAAGGAGACACTCCGCTCACCCTACATGGGGAGGGGGCTAGAAAAGGTGCCCTAAACATAGCCTGCCTAAAGAACCAACCTGACTGGGCAACCACACCCAGTAAGGTCGTCCTTATACAGTCAAAAACACAATAAAAATCACAGATTCAAACAAAAACCAACTGTACAACCTCTTATGGTCGCTGCATGGAATGTCATGACCCTTCTGAATATTGGCACAAATGTGCGTCCTGAAAGAAGAACTGTCCTTGTGGCAAAAGAGCTGGCTAGGTATAACATCGACATAGCAACCATCAGTGAGTCCCGGCTCAGAGATGAAGGTCAACTCACAGAACGGGGGTCTGGCTACACCTTCTTCTGGAAGTGTAAGCCTGCTGCGGAGAGAAACTGCATTTATGGAGTTGGCTTTACCATCCGCCAATACATCCTACACAGGCTAACTGAAATACCTATTGGGATCAACGAGTGCCTCGTGAAGGTCCGAGTCCCACTGAATCGCTCACGTCATGCCTTTTTAATCAGTGCATACGCCAAAACACTGGATGCAGCGGATGTCATCAACGAGGCCTTTTATGCCGACCTTGACAGAGTGCTAACCTCTATACCCAGAGAAGACAAGGATGTGCTCCTTGGTGACTTTAATGCCAGAGTTGGCAGATATGCTGACATTTGGCAGGGAACCATAGGGAGATATGAACTGGGCAAGTGTAATCCCAATGGCCTACTCCTCCTCAGCAAGTGTGGTGTACACAACCTCACTATCACCAATACCTTGCTTAGGCAGACCGACAAGTTCAAGGGTTCATGGTAACTCCCACGATCTAAACACTGGCATCTCATTGAGTACATCATTGTCAGAGAAAGAGATCGCCGAGATGTCCTCATCACCCGAGCCATGCGTGACTCAGACCACTGCGAAACTGATTATCGGCAAGTCGCCCCAAAACGGCAAAGGCAGCAAGCCTCCAGAAGAGGTTTTAATACTAAGCGTCTGGAAGATCCAGCGGTAGCACATGCTTTCAGAGAGCAGCTCAAACATGGGCTTATAAGCAACCTGACAACAAACAACCCAAATCCCAGTGCTGAATGGAGTATTCTCGACACTGTCATGACAAAAACCTGTAGAAAGACCCTCGGCTAGGTCGATGATAAACGTGATGCTTTAACCGACTGGCAAAACAACCAAAGCTGATACCTTCTGCAAGAAGAAAGTGCGGCCCAGCGGGAACTTTGCAATCTAAAGAATGACATTGTTAAAAATAAAGCAATATGAAACACAAAAATTTGCAGATCAACACAAGATGTGCGAATTTTTCAATTTCACTAAAACATTTTATGGGCCAATCACTGGTGGCACAGCCCCCTCCGCTCATCTGACAGTAACTCCCTAATTAAACACAATGAAGGCCTCCTTCAGCATTGGAAAGAGCACTACCATTCACTCTTTAACCGAAACACCGATGTGGATATCCTGACTACCCAGCAGGTCCCTCAGCATCCAGAGATGACCCAACTCAGGTATCCTCCATCCCTGAATGAGGTAGTTACTGTATGTATATTATGTATGCTGGATTATGTATTATGTATGTATATTATGTATGTGCTCCATTTATATTTATTCAGCCTAGCTAGCAGCGTGTGGCAATGTTATTACCATATCCCACATGCTTAATTAATGTGCCTGGCGACGTATGGAAGCTGCTAATGTATCACTTGCCATACGTCGTCTATGGTAGTTGACCAGGACCTTAGCTAGGGAGCAGTGCTATCCACCTCTGTGTACATACTCTTATCCAGTAAACCGAACCTACAAAACTATACAGGTGTTTGTGTTCTCTCCTGTATATAGAACTTATTACCCAGAACATCTAACATGGCGCAGTGAGTAGGATTACTGGATTATTACGAGTGATTAGTGCAAGTTTGTGGAAAGCCGGCTGATGGATCCCCGCCTTGGGTCAACCCCGCGTCATCCCTCGAAGAATTTCGCAACTTTGAGCAGTGTCAGTGACAGTGATTTTCTGTGAAGTGTTTAGTGCATTGTGTGTTTCGTGCCATTCATGTGTGACCTTGTTCGAACGGATTTCCAAGGTATACGGCATGTTCTGGGCATTTGTGGGGTGTAGAGCTCAGCGCACCCTCCTCTGACCGTTTACAGAGAGCGACTGAGCTACTCCTATCTCCACCCACCTCCCTCACAGCGCCGCCTCCACCCCCCCTCACAGCTGGGGCGAGACGCTCTCCTGCCTGGGACACACACACATACATGTACTAACACTTGCTGACCGCGCGGTTTCTTATATATATTTTATATATATAACCTACTTATCTGTGTATTTAATTAAATTTTTTTGTCTGAAATCTTGTTGATACGACGGGCTGACCGGTCAACACTGATTTAAGACACAGTACACAGATAAAGTAGTTATGTCTCATGCCTTACGTAGCCGTGGACCCAGCGCCCGGATGAGTCAAGCGGATGATAGTCCCCCAGAGATGGATGACCAGGCCGGCCCAGCTCCCACAACATCGCGCAGCCCTTCACCTCAACATTCAGCGTTATCTCCAGAGATAATTGCCTTAATGAAGTTTATGAGAGATGAGAGACGCGAGGATGAAGCTCACAGACGTTTGGCGGATGAGCACAGAAGGCAAGCAGAGGCAGAACGAGACCACCAACGGAGAATGGAAGACAGTGCACGGTTTGAAGCCTTGATATCTCGCCTCACTGTTAACCAAGCCCCTGGCTCTAACACTGCCTCGGTACTGAATGGTTCAGATACCTCATCCATGCTTCCTTCACGCCCCCCAGCCCCACCTAAAGCAGCAGCTCAAACACCGCCCATCTTGGAGCCTGATGTAAATTTCCAGACTTTTCGCGAATGGCGGCGGCGGTGGGCTGATTATGCTACAATGGTGGATCTCCAGAGTTTGTCACAGCCTAAACAACTCATCCAGCTGCGTATGTGCCTGTCCTTGGAAGTTCAGCGTGTCTTAGAACATACGTTGCAGGTACCCCCAACCTCTTCGCTGTCTGTAGAGGAGGTACTGGACGTTCTACAACGGCACATCAAAGGACAGCAGAATGAAGCTCTGCGCAGGAGGGAATTGTTTAGCTGCAGACAGATGGAGGGTGAGTCTTTTGACGCTTTTTATGTACGTCTTAAGAGAGCCTCGGAAGAGGTAGATATATGTCTAGGCCACCACCAGCAGTGTGAGGAGACCCAGTTGAAGCAGGTGATCTTGATGGGTGTTAAGGACGAGGAACTTGTCCAACGCCTCACCTCCCTCGACTCTTCCTCTTCTCTTCAGGATGTGTTGACGATATGTCGCTCCTATGAGGCTGCCAGGTGTGCCACCTCTGCCATCCGAGCTCCCCCTACAGCTGTACGCGCTGTTTCCCGGTACAAGAAGGACAAGAAGTCTGCTCCTACGCCTTCGCCCACCACGTCCACGCCCGGTTCATTTTGCAACAACTGTGGTAAGCAGCACGGAACACAGGTATGTCCAGCTGCTGAGTCTACCTGCGACAGTTGTGA